GTGTTGTTATTGTAGATTCTGTGGTTGTTGGTGTTGTTATTGTAGATGCTGTGGTTGTTGTTGTTATATTGGAGCCTCTGGTGAAAGGGCACAAAGTAGAGAAAAGACAAGATGGAGCTAGAGAGACTGGTAGTGGGGAGAAAATGTTGATAATAATAACTGTTCCCATCCAAAATCAACAGATTTAGTCAACAGTGAATTGGTCATTGTATAAACTTCCTTGTGGAAAGTTGAGTGTTGGTGAATTGGCTTGCTTCTGATAGAGAAGGCAAAAGTGAAGGGGCAAGAGAACAGAGAAAAGATATGAGCTGTTTTGAGAAACTGGAGGATGGTAACAGCTCCCATCTGACTATTCCAAGTGCAACTGTGATCTCAAGAGACAGCCCACACGCAGCACTGCAGGTCTCTTGTGTGCTCCTACTTGCCTGGCCCCTGAGTTACAGGACTCTACTTTCAGTGGATATCAGCATGGTACTCACTCAGTGCAAACCTAGAATTCCCTTTTCTTGGCCTCGGCTGTCATGCTTTGCAGACTCTGGAAGCAGGAAATCATGGGATCAGCAATCTTCATGACAAAGAAGCCAACATACAAATCAAACAAACACACAGAGAAAACTTCATAGCCAGTTTAGACAATCAAGGCTACATATGGGAGTCTCCAATAAGAAAAGAGACAGAGGCCCATCTGGAAGAGAAGGGGACTAAAGGATTTGTATAATTTGTGACTAATCCCATGTTAAGAACATAGAAAAAGGTTTTGCAGCTGATTTTTGGCTTACATTTTTAAAAAGTAATCTCACTCTGTGGTGTCAGAGGTTCTTCTGTCTATGTGTTGCTTTCATTGGTTGAATAAAAAAACTGCCTTGGCCTTGTGATAGGGCAGCACTTAGATAGGTGTGGAAAGAGAACTGAATGCTGGGAAAAAGAAGGCAGGCAGAGAGAACCGCCATGGGAGACGCCAGGTCAGACATGCTGAATCTTTCCAGGTAAGCCATGACCTTGTGGTGACATACGGATTATTAGAAATGGATTGAATCAAGATGTGAGAGTTAGCCAATAATAGGCTAGATATAATGGGCCAGTCAGTAATTTAATTAATACAATTTCTGTGTGGTTATTTTGGGGATTAAGCTAGCTGGGCAGCAGGATGTGAACCAATCATCCCTACTACAACTCTGCATGTGTGTGTGCATGTATGTGTGTGTGTGCATACACATGTGTGTATCCTCTCTGTAAAATTCCCAGTGAGTAAGACTCTGTTCCCTTTCTCACTTCCATATCATGCTTGTAAACAATGCATGAGACTGACAATAATTAGCAGGCTGCTGGCTCCATCCTGTGTGGGGAAATAAACTCTCTATATAAAAAGAAGTTCTAGTTTTATGATTATAAAGAAAGAGCACGTATTTCTCCTAACTAGTTATCTAAATATAGATAGAAAGTTTGTTGCACTTGAAATTCAATCTTTATACTTATATCTAAAAGGAACATTTAGAAAGGAAATATGGGACAACCTGTTCATGACAATGAAACTACATATATATGAAGCTACATATAAATATTTTTCAATAAAGTGGCTTAAAAGCTAAACAGTGAAACAATGAGCTTAATTTTACATTCAAACAAAATATTTAGGCTGCCGACATGGCATCTTTAAAGCAAGGATACGCTCTAAAGCGGGTCCCTCTTGTCCCCTGCAGCCCAATGCCGACTGCATGGACGACTTGCCGATTGATTTTGAGGGCTCCCTGGGAGGCCCACCCACCAATCAGATCACAGGCGCCAGTGACACGACAGTGAATGAGAGTTCAGTCACTTTGGATCCTGCAGTGAGGACAGTGGGAGCCCTGCAGGTGGTCCAGGACCCTGACCCTGCGCCCCAGGAGGGAGAAGCCATCTTTACAACAAACGGTAAGTACTGTGTCGATCTTGGTGACGTTGGATCATCACCCACAGAGTTATTGCCTCACAGGGGTTGGGAACAATAATGCATAGTGTTGTGTGATGGTTGATAGGGCCAATTTGATAGAATTTAGAATCACTTAGAAGACAAACCTGTGGAAGCTGGTGAAGGACAATCTAGATTAGGTCAGTGTCTGGGCACACCTGTGAAAGTCTGTCTAGCTCAAGCTCACGGATCTGGGAGGACCCTCTTTAACTATGAGTGGTATCACACCAGGGACTGGGGTCTTAGCTAAATAAAAAGGAAGCAGAGAGCTGAACAATAACTTTGATCTTGGCCTTCTGGCTGCGATAGCTGCTGGTGTCAGAGGGCAGGTAAGAGAAACCAATGTCAGGGGCACAGTTTCCACCGACACTGAACCTGTTGTGTATGGGAACATACAAGAGCCTCTTGAGAGTGGCTGTGGCTATAGAAGCTGGTCTGACCTATGTGAAATGGCAGCTTTCCCAGTGATAGGACACTCGGCTGTACATAGCACATCTTTCTTTGAGTTATTTGATTGGCTTTGATTAAAAGAGAAGATCCTACTATGTTGCCTGAACTAACCTCGAATGTCTGAGATGAGCAATGCATCAACCTCCGGAGTAGCTTGGGCTACAAGTGTGGGCTGTTGTTTATGACATGCCTCTGGATGAACATTGTTAGGTGTTCCCTGACTATCCACATAGGTAGTCACCAAGTCCTGTGCTGTTTGTTGGCAACTGTCATAAAAGTGTTTAAATATCTGCATGATATTGAAGCTAAAGTACCTACTATTTAGTCAAATATAGTAAGAGATAAAAGCCTCGGGAGTTCTAAGAAAATCAGCATACAAATTAACTGAGTTAAGTTTAAAGTTAAAGAGTGGGCGGATAATGTAGTTTTAAATAGAGTGTATTTTTTTTCTTGTGTAGAAGCAACATATTCACTATGGAAAAGTATAAAGGCAAATTGAATCATCTTAGGTTATTTCCATTGAAGCCAACTTCTTTCTTATGTATTTGTGATTTTCACAAGATCTGTAAAAATAGGCTAAGATGTAAATACTTGTATTTTCCTGATTAACTATAATCTTAATTATCAGAAGACTGAAAGATAAAACAATTTTAAAGAAACCTCAGGTGGAGTATCACAATCCAGAAATTATCACCTGTACACGGTGCAACCCTGAGACACAGACATTTGAGATTCCTTAAAGATTGCTGTGCTCCCATTGTTTGCACAGTACTGATGTTGGGAAGCCATGCGTCCAATGTGATGTGATCTGTTCAGGGCACGGTACAAAAGTGTAAATGGGCAACGCCCACTTGATTAACCTACTTTATTTAACCAAATATATCTAAAGTATTTTATATTCTTTTGTCTTGTAATTGGTCTTTAGAATGTGGGATGTGGTCCATACTTTCTGTGTGTTTGGATTTAGCTGACTAGCCACATCAGGGGTGCTTGGTCGTCCTGTGTGGTAGCAAGTGGCTTGTCCCAGAGCAGCGCACAGACAGAGACTCTCAGGACTGCAAAAGAACCTTGAAGATGATAGATAGTTCCTGGTTTTCTTTGTTTGTTTTATTTTGTTTTGGAACAGGGTTTTTCTGTGTAGCCCTGGCTGTCCTGGAACTCATTTTATAGACCAGGCTGGCCTCAAACTCAGAGATCCACCTGCCTCTGCCTCCCAAGTGTTGGGATTAAAGGCATGCACCACCACCCCCTGGTGTTGTCCTTGTGTTTAGTCAGAATAAGCTTCTCATTTCTGCCATTAGAACACTACAGCCCAGAGGAGCAAATGTCTGACCAGGTCCACAATAAGTTCTCTTGCAGTGAACAAGAGAGCCTGGTGGTTTTCCTATTACTGGCGTCGGTTGTCACCTTGGACATCTGGGCACTGATGGTCTCAGTGAGGACCATAGAGGAGACCCTTGCCAGCAGTCCAAAAATATTTAAGCCATGGGCATTTTTTAAGAACATGTAAGAAGAAAAAAAATAAAAAGTAGGTCATTCTCCTTGCACCAGAACGGTTGTTGATTGACCAGAGACAACACATGACCTGCTCACTCCGTAACATGACTCTGTCACACGCTTTTCACAAATCTTAATTAAGCCCAGGTGACAAATTTAAAAAAAAAAAGTTTTCATTTAATGTGATTAAATATAATCTAAAATTAAATAGGTATACGCTGTGAGCTAAAATCCATCCTCAACAAAATAGAAAATTACAGTGTGCAGCCATGTGATCCGTCCCCCTCCAGCTCTATGAGGAAAGTAGAACTGGAGCGAGCAGGTCAAAGCAGCCGTTGTTAGGCCGTCTATTGAGGCTGGGAGGGAAAGGTGTTCAAAGTAGGCTAGGAGCAGGGACGTTCTGTTCACAGCGGGAGAGAAAAATGCCGTGTAGTTTCAGATGCAAGCTTTGGTGAAGGAGAAGTGAAGTGGCAGGTGAGTCAAATGGGCAAGCCTGTGGTCAGAAGGCCGTCTCAAATGGGCAAGCCTGTGGTCAGAAGGCCAACTCAAATGGGCAAGCCTGTGGTCAGAAAGCTGACTCAAACGGGCAAGCCTGTGGTCAGAAGGCTGACGGGCAGCATGGATATGCTTGGAGAGAGCCCTTTCTTAGCATAACAATTGCATGTTTCCCACAAAGTCATGTCCCTAGGCCATCTCCTTCTGAATTGTTTTATTTATTTAGATTTAACAGAAATGGACAAACAAAACGACTATAAATGCCTTAAGGGGAGAGCTCTCTGTAAAGATTTCCTAATTTCCTAGCGCATCTTCAAACTATCAGTCAGTGAGCAAGCATACATCTGCCGCTGAATGCGTGATGACTCCCGTTCCCATCAATGCCGTTCCCACCTCTCTCTCTCTGCTGTCTGATGGTTGGAGTTTAGTACAGAGGGTTTGCTTTGCACTTGGGGTTCAGTACAGAGGGCCATGGGTATGGCTCAAGGTCAATTCCTAGCACAACAACAAGACTGTGGATGGAGTATAAATCACAAGCAAACAGCCAAAAGGAGGCCTTGGTATCAAATTATCCTCTCTCCTTACATCTACACAAACCAGGGAATACAGAAAGTGAAGAGCTCAGAGCAGTTTACAGATGCATAGCAACAGGCGACCGGCGCCCTTTGAAGCCTGGTTCACAGTCACTCCCAACAGTCTCGTGAGGTAGATATTATTTTCATCCTCCTATCACTGAAGTGAATGTGGAGGCCCTGAGAGATGGAAGGAATTAACTGACCAAAGGGCACACACTAGTGAGAGGCGCATCTGCAACTCAGGCCAAGCTGCGGACCAAGGATGCACAGGGCAGACCAGGGAACGTGTCCTGGCCAGCTCACCTTTCATTTAGTATACTTGGTCACTTCTTGTCACTTCAGATCTTCCAAAAACTCCAAACTTTGCTCAGTTCCACGTGACACTGTCATTCCCACCTCGCTTCTTGTCATCTTCTGAGCAAACGGAGCTGGCGTACTGTGGTGGTCCAGTGTGTGGCCATCCAGCCAGCATTCCCGGCAGGACGGTGGAAGCAGATAGCCACTGAAGATGGAATGATATGGCATTAAGGGATCATCTCTGGCTCCCAGGAAAGGGAGAAAAAGAAAAGAAAATGATTTAAAGAACCATGAAGTGCCTGGCTTGCAATTCTGACCCTTGGAGGAAGGATTCTCCATTAGCTGTGCTTGGTGCTGTTGTCATCTGGACATAACAGCCCGCATCACCTTCTCCTCGGCTGTTGTCATCTGGACATAACAGCCCACATCACCTTCTCCCTGACCTCAAGTCCTAAGGCTGGGTGTTCAGATGCCCCTCAGCACTCTCTACCTGCAGGCCCAGCCATGCCAAACCCTTGGTTCTGACTCCCAAAAACTAATTGCAGATGGTTGGGATTGCTTCCCCTGGGAGAAAGAGTGTCTTAGGAACAAAGGCAACACAGCTAAACAATCATCCCCAAGTGTTTGGAGACCCCAGAGGGGAGCCAGGGAATGACACTGAGGGAGAAGGCTTATTGCACCTTCCCAAATCCCCCAAGCTCACGTTGACATCGTCTCAGGAAATTCTGAAGCCTTTCTTTTAGTTTTTCAAGAGGGTGGCTGACTCCATAATCTGCTTCCTTCTTTTCTTATTGAAACACTCCAAAGGCCTGTGAGAAAAATCTGCCTCAAAAGGCTGCCTGAGAATCGTGATCCGCTTGCCACCCTGCCACATCCCGCCACAGTCAATCCAAGTGGAGAAGGACAGAGATGGACAGGGTCATGAAATCTCAGACACCCAGAACATCCTGAGAAGCACTTGGCATGACCAGGAGTGCTGGTCTTCACAGAAGGAAGCAATGTATGTGAGCACATGCCGAGTCTCCAGGCACTTGGCCAACTAGAGTATAAGGTGAAAGGGATTTCCTCTGGAAAATGCCTTTTGTAACTTCCTGTCAGCTTCATCTATTGAATACACATGGCCCATAACATCTTCATGATGCATTTTTATTTTTGTTTTACTGATGACTAAAATGTACTGCATGAGTATACTACCCTGACCCTCCCACCCCTGCCTCTGAACGAGTATCCCAGCAGCCCCAAGGGTTAATTATTTCCTCTTAGGTAATTGACAATTAAGAATCTCAAATTTATGGGGCGGTGGTGGCACACAGCTTTAATCCCAGCACCTGGGAGACAGAAGCAGGTGGATCTCTGTGAGTTCAAGGCCAGCCTGGGTCTACAGAGCAAGTTCCCAGATAACCAAGACTACACAGAGAAACTCTGTCTCAAAAAGAGTCTCAAACTCAAATCCAAAGAAAATTTTGTTTTCTCTTGGACCTTTCCGTTCCAGTTCTTGTACCTCACAAGAGAAGGATCTGTGCTGCTTATTCTCTGGGGTCTCTGCATTCTGTACACCCCATAGCCAGTTGGTAGCCAGGGTTTCATATGCTCCCCTCATCCTTCCATGAGGGCCCTTAGGATGGGGTAAATGCAGGCGCACATATGCC